ATGATATAATAAATAAAAAGAAACAATAAAAAATATTAGGAATCTGATATCGTAGAACAATCGTTGCTAAATCTTTGAAACAAACTTTTTGTCTTCTTTCTGAGGATGTTGAAGATCTACTGCCATTAACTACTGGCCATTTCCTGATAGGATATTCATTAGCTGGGCTTCTCTGGATGGAAAGAGATCATTGTGGCGCAATGATCTCGTAGCCAAATTGATGACAAACGATTTTAAAAATCAAGAAAATGCTTGGATAAGTGGACCAATGAATGTCATAACTACAGCAAAGAACCAAATGTTACCAGCCCCAACTCAATAAAAAGGATGAAACATTATTGTTGATAAAGAATGATCAACCAGCTCCACTATCTTGGAAGATTGGAAGAAAATTTAAGGTATTTCCATAAGAGATGATTCAAGAGTAAGGATTGTTGAAATAATGACTGCTGATGGAACTTACAAAAGGTAATTTGTTGGTAACCTATTTAATGTTTCACTCTCTCTTTGATTGATCAACTTTGTGATGTACAGATTTTGTTCATTTTCTAAAATTTATCGTACAGTCGACTCTCGTTAATTTGAAACTCAAGGGACAAGAGAAAAATTTCAATTTATCAAGAGTTCAAAATAACAAGAGTTTAAACAACTAAGAGGGAGGGAGGGAAAAATCAAGTAAACAAGGGTTTCAAGTTTTGACAGTTTCGGGATATACATACTTTGTTAATACAACATTAAATAAGTGACTTACCGCAAGTTTTTAAAGTAATAAATTTATTGAGAGCTTTCGTGTATTGCCCTTTCTCAAAAAAGTGTCTGATCTCTCTCTCTCTCTCAAAATTCGTGATTTATTATTTTAAACATTGGAACAATTATCACAAATGTTCATTTTAAAAAGAAGTCCGTAAATTTTTGTTAAGTGAGTGACTTCAGTCTATCATTGTCCAATGAATTTTCGATAGTAGTGAGAGCTGCGAAGAAATCGTTACTTGTGTCGGTTCTGAGGCGCGTAGAGGCGTAGGGTAGTCGCCGGCAACATTTCCCCTCATATTTTAATTATTAGATAGAGAATCTTACATAATAATAAAATCAAGTAAACAAGAGTTTGATCAAAATTTGTGATTTATTATTTTAACCATTTGTATAAGTATTGACAAATGTTAATTTGAGCCAAGATACTATTCCTTCAACTTCAAATTACTGAGGGGACCAATTAATATTGATTTTATTCAACTTATCGAGTGTTTTTCAAGGGACCGGGGAAACATTTCAAATTTTCGAGAGTCGACTGTATGTATATTCTCTTATTTATTGTAATGAGTAATTAATTTATGATCTCTAGCTTGATTTTATAGAAATGATTTTTTTTTTTTAATGTCACCACGACTGCAATATCACAAACATACTCATGTATCCTTAAAATAATCAGCAAATAATAATTCTATATCTCCTAAATATATCTCAAAAAATATTTTTATAATATATATATGAAAATTAAGAAAAAATATATATATGCAATATAATTCCCACACTACTTGTAAATAGTCAACACATTTTTATTTTAATATCCATATATTTTAATATCTATAATCAAAGAGTAAATAGCCAATGCTTGTATATATTTTTTTGACCAACGACCCGAGGGGGTAAGAGGGAGAAGTGGAGAACAAAGGAAGTTGGAAAATAAACAAAGGGAAAATGGCTGTGTTTCTTTTTGTCGCGTCTATTATTTCTTATATACAAATTTAGAGTTTTAAATTTATAATTATTCAAAGATATACCTTAATACGACAGTATATATATATATTAAAAATAAAGAAAGCATGTCCTGACCAGGAGCACATGTGCTTTACAGAAGGCAGAGCGCCATCTGGTGGAACAGAAATCAACTAAACATTGATTTAGCCTGTTCCCTGATATTTGGCCAGCCCAATTTCTTGATAAATCAAGAAAAACCATCCACGAACGCGTTTCGCGCTGTTGGTCTCGTCAGCATGGAGTAGGCTGTACCACTGCAACCAAAAAGAATTTCTATTGTTTTTTCATATATATATAACATATATATATAAAGGTCGCCTCTCCCATCAAATAGAAGTCAAAACAAGACGCCATCTATTGGCATCTATTTTTAACGATTGAGGCGGTTTTTATTATTATTTTTTACAGATCAATATCCTCTTGGCAAAATTTCCTTCTATCTTCCTATATTTCTGTTTTAAAGGTTCACTCATAATAATTTTCATATTATTCTATTTTGAAAATAGAGCAATCCATAAGTTGGCGTTCAGCCAACTGAAATATTGGTAAAATAAATGATATTTTGATCCAATATATACCTTAAATATTATTCTATATATTGTAGCGTAGAAATCAAGTCTTTGTATATCTGGAGATGTGAAAGTATTTATTGATGACGTCACCACGATCAGTCGACAATTATTAACAGAACTATCTACAGCTAGGGAATCTTGAACAAGCAAGCAAAGAAATATTTTGAAGATGATTTTACAAATACAGAGTAATATATATTTTTATAATCTGTTGAATATTTTCATTGAATAATATTAAATTAAATTAATTCTTCGCCACAATATAATACAAGATTTCATCTTTTTTAGCATCTTAATTTCAAAATAAAAATGACAATGAATATTCAAATTAAAATTGAAACTGAAATAATTTTAGAATAATCATTATTTATGGTAAAATTCCCATTGTATCCTAAGCATAATTATGTTTACTGTTGCTAAGTCTGTAAACCGGCTCCCAGCCAACAGCTCAATCACAGTGCAATGGCTCTCAGCTCACGTTGGAATTCCTGGTAATGAGCTTGGCAGACTCTATGGCAAAGGCTGAAGCTCTTGGCCTACCTAAAGTAAGAGAATCTACCACCCAACTAGACGAAAGAGACCTCCTCCGTACCATCAAACCCCAATGCCAGCAGGAATGGAAATCTGATATGCACATGACTGGTACAGAGCAGGAGGGACAAGCACCGGTTCTGTCCTCCCAAGAGAACAACAGTCTTTGATTTCCAGACTTAAGTCTGGTCATCTACGGACAATGACTTCCCAGAATGGTTGCAGGGTCTTCCCACTATGTACTAAGTGCAATTCTCAGCCTGCAACCCCAAAACACATCATTGACTGTATTAACTCATCCATTGATGATCTCTACTCATCCCCAGCAGACACCATCAACAAGCTTTACAAGCTTGATACCTTAGTGTGATTGAGTGGAGATAAGAAAGAAGAAGAAGATGTTTACTGCATTGATCTAGCCCAAATATTTTCGGAGCTATCAATTTTTAAAGTTGTTTAAGACTTTGGATCATCGTGTATATTTAATACATACCTTCATATCCTTTCTTCAGCTATGAATTTGGGACATGTTTTAACTACTCTGTTAGAGCTGAAAGAAGAGTTGCAACTTTCTTGAAGGTTTTTTTTTATTTAATCAGCCAGGCGCGATATGGAAATATTTGCGTCTATTACAGAGAAAACAAACAGAACAACAAACAAATTAAAACTTAGAATTAAATATTTACAAATTTACATGTATATTATTCTACAGAGTTCATAAAATTTATATAGACAAAGTGGCTGATATAAGAGAGATAAATCATTTAGATCAGGGAACAATCGATGTCTCACTTCTGTAAAGTTCGGACAGTCATAGATAAGGTGAAGAGAAGTTTGTTCAGTTTCTCCGCAGGAACAATTTGGTGTTTCTGATAGACCTCTTTTATGTAAGTATTTCTGGAATTTTCCATGTGATGTGACAAATTGAGTGAATATAAAATTTGGATGAAACTCTGAAAGAATTCCGTTTAGAAAAAATAGTGCGAATTGTATAGTTAGTATTATAAATGGACACAAAAGATTCATAATAATAGTTTTTTCTTCGCCAAATATTTGTAAAGAAAAGTTGTAACTTTCTTGAAGGTTATAACATTCTCAAAGACTTCCACTATCTGATGGAACAAGCCATCAACCAAATTTTGGCAGCGTTGCAAACTATGAGCCAGCCTGTGGAGTGGTGACTTTGAAAGCGCAATTATGTTTTTTATATATTATATTAAAGTGACTTTAAACGTCTTGGCATCGATATGAGGATATCGGCTTAAATCAAGCTGTTAACGTGATGTTACGTCACTGGAAATTGAAATCAAACGACGTTGGACAACTTGCGCCATCTTTTGACAACTTTTTAAACTATTTCTTTTGACATTCATCTATAATATAGTTGTATTCATATCAAATGATTTAAATCTCCTGGTGTTGACTTTGTTTAGAATTTTTAATGAAATTGATTCCAAGAATTATTAATTAAACATTATATTTATTCAATATAATATATTCAATATAATATTTTTCCGTTTATCATTACTCTTCACAATTCATCCTTTCATATCTCATCCCTAAGGTTAGAAATAATCGTTATTTCTCCTTAAAATAAATTTTGATTTTTCGTTGAAAAGAAACTCTGCGGGATAGTTTTCAAATGTCGTTTTACAATTATATTTATTGATTTACAAGAGAGAGAACAAAATATAAAAGGGAAACTAATATTAAAAACAAAGGAACTTTTTTTCTCTTCGGTTAGCGCCTATTTACCTGTGAGCTTACACACACTCTGTGATAAAAAAAAAATTAATTAATATATATATAACACCTGAACATTAATTAAATATTTAATAAGGTTTCTGTAAATGAATTTATTTTTATTTTATTAAAACTGTATCAAGCTTTCAGGTATTTCTGCCCTTCTACGGGAGAACTTATATAAACGATATAATACACTGCGGCCTGTGATTGTAAAACAACACTTGAAGTTATACCGCATGAGTTTCTTTTCAACGAAAATCAAAATTTTTTATTTCAAGGTGAAATATCGACTATTTCTATCCTTTTTAGATGAGGTATGAAAGGGTGAATTATGAAAAGTAATGATGAACGGAAAAATAAAATAAAAGTATAATTTACGAACGGAAAAATATGTCCAGGGTAGCCTAGTGGACATGGCATCTGCCCGGTAAGCGGAACATTGTGGGTTCGATTCCCATCCCTGGTCACTTTTATTTTTCCGTTCATCATTACTCTTCATAATTCACCCTTTCATACCTCATCTAAAAAGGATAGAAATAGTCGATATTTCACCTTGAAATAAAAAATTTTGATTTTTCGTTGAAAAGAAACTCATGCGGTGTAACCTCAAGTGTCGTTTTATATATAAACGGATAAAACGCCTGTTTGTTTGGCATCAGGCGGAGTTTTATTCATTATTTAAGTTCTCCTGTAGAAGGACAGAGATGCCTGAAAGCTTGAGACTATGTTAATAAAATAAAAAGAAACTCATCTTCAGAAACCTTTTTAAGTTGTATTCAGGTGAAATCATCAGAGGATTCTAGTGATAAAATAATAATAATTCACTTTATGTTTCAAAAAAGGTTACAAGTTTTTCTCTAAAAAATGTAACGAATGGTCAGTCTATTTACAAATTTTTATTTACAACTTCAATAAGTAACAACAGTAAAAGTAAACAAATATATTTACATTTGTTATCTTGATTCCTGGTCAGTGCTGTGGTCCTCACAGATATGGTCCCCTGATGTCCTGCAGCTCTCCAGCAGTCTTTCTATGGCTGGTGGCTCCTCGATAAGATGGTCCCTGGCCTTGATCCATTCTTGTCTGTCAGGTCTCATGTCAACTGCTCTAGGTCATTCTCCTGGATCTCTTCTATGGTCGTTGTATCCATGTGCTCCATGTCCGGTGTTCCTCGTCTTCACACGCCAGCTCCCTACATCGTTCCAACAATCTATTCATGGCTTCTATTTCTTTATTTCTCTGTGGTTCATTCTTATTTTTTGGAGATAATTTCCATCGTCTTTTTTAGCACCAGGGATTGAATATATGCGAAGTCCCTTTTTCTTATGTTTATTTCCTTTCTATATTGTTTGTTATATTTGGTTACTATTCCATCCCATGTTAAGACTATCGGCACTACTTTTACGGGCATTTTTTCGGTTTGGGCCATTTCCCTCGCCAGTAGCTGGTATTAATAATAATAATAATATAATAATAATAATAAATTATCCCTGGAAGCCTGATAATTTCACCTTGAAATTGCTACAAAGAATTATTTTGCTGAATAGTTGCATATTCATTTTATTGAAAGTATATTTATTTTAAAAATTATTTTCAAATAAATAGAGGAAAAGAAATGTGCTTGTTATAAAGAGATTAAATCTTTAGATTATTTTATTATACCATAATAAACATACCAATACACTATCGCGTATGTATCAGGTTGTCCCATAAATAATGGCCGTTTGGAAGCGACCAATTAAAGATACCATATCTAATCCAAAAATGAGTTTATTTAAACAAAATAGGTACCATTAGAATCACAGCACTTATGCCAACGTGATGGAAACATTTTATGTCATTTTAATAAAAGTCTGGTTATCTAGAGGCCAAAGAATCCAAAAAGACGTTTTTCACATCTCTCCGATTAATCAGCCGTTTTCCATGAAAGAAAATATCAAATGCTTGAAAAAAATGGAAATCAGTAGGGGACAGATCAGATGAGTAAGGAGGGTGAGCTAGAACGTCATAACCTTATTGAGCAATTCTTTGTTGGGTCGTAAATGAAGAGTGTGGCCGTGCGTTATCGTGAAGCAGAATAACGCCTTTCCTATTGACCAAACTGGACATTTTTTCTGACAATTTCAGATGCATGGCTTGCAAATCTTGACAATACACTTCTGAATTTATCGCTTCGTCACTATTCAAAAATCTGTAATGCAATAATCCATAATATGATCACCAAACAATGAGCATTATCCGCTTTGGATGCAAGCTTGGTTTTGGGAAGGGTTTTGGATCCTAATCTGTGTCTAACCACTGCCTTGATCTCATCCTGTTGTCAAAAAGAACCCACCTTTCATCATACGTAACATATCGTTTTTAAAAAGGAGTAAATTGTAGCGAGCCAACAAAGATCTGCAATTTCCAGACGTCGCTGACGTTGAGCATCACTCAAATCGTGCGGGACCCATTGTGGCAATTTTTTTGTTTTGCCAATTTGGTGAAGATGTCTAGCAATGGTTGATTTTGAAGCTCTGCACTTACCTCACGCACTGTTTGGGTATTATTGGATTCAATATGAGACTTTAGATCTTCATTTTTGAAGGTTGGCCGACGACCACGACCATCTTGATCTTCAAGTCCGAAATCGCCAACTTTAAATTTTTTGAAACCATCTTTTTTTGGTTCTTTCGGAAGAAGAAGCTTCTCCCCAGGCCTCAATAATGTTTTTGGTTGCCTGGGCGGCCGAACGTCCAAGTTTAAATTCGTGAAGCAAAATAATGCGCAAATTCCTAAGTTCCATTGTTCAATATTTTAAATTATAGAGATTTTTTATCATTCGTGAAATTTTCGAAAGAATGACTGCACGTTAATGCGCGTTCTGTAAACTTTATAGCAATATATAATATGCATGAGTTGCCAAATTATTTATGTTTTTTTTTTTCAATCCAAAAATGTGCTTCCAAAAAACGGCATTATTTATGGGAAAGCCTGATATATATTCTAGAAAATTCAAAAATCATTTTAGAGGTCTTGTTGAATTATTTTGGTAACTGCTCTGTGAAAATCGAATAATCTCTTTGCACCAGTCTTCCATAAGATGGGATTCACGCTTATCTCGTCGATAACAATAAATGCAAGATAACAGTGATTGGGGATTTTCCAAGAAAAATATTCCAATTCTTCTATAAAACATTGGTAGTCGAGAAAATGAGACAACTCTGTTGAGGCGTTTTGTTTACACAGATACACCTGCCCCTACTTCCTGACTCCCTGCCAGCCTGGAACTACCTGGTTACCTGGTTCACCTAGACTGAAGCTGTACAGTCCGGGTAGTTGGTGATTTATGCTCCAGGAGCCCACCTCTACTTTCTCTCTCAGATAACATTCCAGAGACCTTACGTGAAAATATAATTTATAAAAATTAAATCCCTAATAAAAATTTAAAAAAACATGAACAACATATACAAGTTTAATGAAGTTGATCCGGAGTAATATAAATTTATTTAATTGAGAAAAATCACAACAAAATATAGTGGTACGACTTCTTTTACTGTAAGTACACCACATGTCTACACATGTGAAAAACAGTTCGACTTTGCACTTACAAATGTTCCAGAGCCCCGTTTGTTAACTTGCACTCGCTGGTGGGGTTGGACTTTTGCAAGAATCGGGAGCCATTGGAGCATTTTTTTTTTTTAATCAGAAAAAAAGTGCCTAATACGGGAATCAAACCCGGGTCGTAGCAGTCGAAAACCAACGGTTTAGACCATCCTTCCACCGACTCCTATAGTTATATATAAATGAGAGGTTTTTTTAATGATAGAGAAATAAAAATTTAAAATATTAATGATATTAAAAAAGAGTTAACAGTAAGATCGCGTTAGATTATTTTTTTTTTTTAACAATTTAATTTCCCTTGAAAAAATAAAAATAATTAATGATTTACAGAAATTAGAGTGACATCATAATACCACGCATCGAGCAATGCTCTTCTGCAAAACCACAAAATAAGCCAGTTAGGCAACATTTTAAAAAAATTGTGGCGAAGAAATATTCTATTATTTAATTTAATATTATTCAATGAAAATATTCAACAGATTATAAAAATATATATTACTCTGTATTTGTAAAATCATCTTTAAAATATTTCTTTGCTTGCTTGTTCAAGATTCCCTAGCTGTAGATAGTTTGGTTGATGTGTTAATAATTGTCGACTGGTCATGGTGACGTCATCAATAAATACTTTCACATCTCCAGATATACAAAGACTTGATTTCTACGCTACAATATCATTATATCTCTTTAATTTAGATATACATTTCTACAATCCTAGAAGCCAATATCCATAGTTCCTTCAAAACACCAATTTATTGAACTACTTATATATTTGCCTTATTCTGTCTGTTTGTCTGTTTGTCTGAAGCTCACGGATAGAATGCGCGCCCATTGGCTGCCAGCGAACACGTGGCCTCCCTGCCCCCCTCTAGACAACCCTGTTATCAGCTGTGCGATACATACACCTGTCTATAGCGGTCACTCTAGACAACCCTGTTATCAGCTGAGTGATACATCCACATGTCTATACAGACCACCCTGTCATAGCGGTCACCCTAGGCAACCCTGTTATCAGCTGTGTGATACATCCACCTGTCTATACAGACCACCCTGTCATAGCGGTCACCCTAGGCAACCCTGTTATCTGCTGTGTGATACAACCACCTGTCTATACAGACCACCCTGTCATAGCGGTCACCCTAGGCAACCCTGTTATCAGCTGTGTGATACATCCACCTGTCTATACAGACCACCCTGTCATAGCGGTCACCCTAGGCAACCCTGTTATCAGCTGTGTGATACATCCACCTGTCTATACAGACCACCCTGTCATAGCGGTCACCCTAGGCAACCCTGTTATCAGCTGTGTGATACATCCACCTGTCTATACAGACCACCCTGTCATAGCGGTCACCCTAGGCAACCCTGTTATCAGCTGAGTGATACATCCACCTGTCTATACAGACCACCCTGTCATAGCGGTCACCCTAGGCAACCCTGTTATCAGCTGTGTGATACATCCACATGTCTATACAGACCACCCTGTCATAGCGGTCACCCTAGGCAACCCTGTTATCAGCTGAGTGATACATCCACCTGTCTATACAGACCACCCTGTCATAGCGGTCACCCTAGGCAACCCTGTTATCAGCTGTGTGATACATCCACCTGTCTATACAGACCACCCTGTCATAGCGGTCACCCTAGGCAACCCTGTTATCAGCTGAGTGATACATCCACCTGTCTATACAGACCACCCTGCCATAGCGGTCACCCTAGGCAACCCTGTTATCAGCTGAGTGATACATCCACCTGTCTATACAGACCACCCTGTCATAGCGGTCACCCTAGGCAACCCTGTTATCTGCTGTGTGATACATCCACCTGTCTATACAGACCACCCTGTCATAGCGGTCACCCAAGGCA